TGGCTTTAAATGTAAAGCTTTGGGCCCGCGTTATATAGTTATTTTGATTTTGAATGTTATAGTGTATATTAGAGTAATATAAATAATGATATGTTCTATGAAATTTTTAAGAATAAAAGGGTGTCAAATAAATGAAGAAGCAACATTTTAAGATTTACTATTACGAACATTAATTGTCATTATAATGACTATAACTATTGTTGGATGGAGCTTTGGTGCTTATGTTGCCTCTATTATGTGAAAGGCTCCAAGTTTTAGTCATGTAAATAAGCTTTCATAAAATGTTGGTGACGTAGGGCTACTTGAGGAGGCCCGCCAAATCGGCCTAGCTGGGACTGCTCTAGCCTTCTTCTGGAATAGCTAACCCTCTTAGGGAGGCTAAAATTGCTGCCTGCCCCGCCGCTTTAATTAAGTGATTGCCGATTTCTATTTCTTCCCTTTTTAATTTCTCTCTTATTGCTACAACATTTCCTAATTAAGTCCTAAGCCCAATTATATACATGGAGATGTTTTACTTAGTGAATTCAGTTTTTGGTGATTATTCTGAGTTCAGGCTCTTGTGTGGAGTGTTTCCCCTGTTTTAGGGCTGTATCTGAGGAGGTGGTGGTTCTCCTTTGTATTGTACTCCAAGGTGGCATTAAATCTTCTTCCCTTTTCCTGTCCAACCCTCCCTCTACCCTCCTTTTCAGCCGTCAGGCTCCCAACATTGCCCTGCCTCCCTTGCCGCCACCCATACAACATCCCGGCCTGTTATCCGACCATTTTTGCCGCTGTCTGGTTATCCCTGCTTGTTGTCCAAGCTTCCCGCCTGCTGCCCCTTCTTCCCACCTGCTGTCTACCCTTTCCACCTGTTGTCCCGCCTCCCCAAACTGTTGTTTTCGCCTCCCCAAACCTGCTATCCAGTCCCAAGATCTGCCCTCCAGCCTGCCTAACACTCGAGCAGGCCGCCGCCTTTTCGTTGTCTGGCAAGCCTCCCCTTTCCATTGCTTTCCTGCACGTCAACCACCTTCCAGCACCCCTCCCGGCTCGTCCCAGCAACCACTCGGTTCTCCTAGAAGTTGCAGTCCCCCCTCTAGTCAGTCGACCGACCCTCTTTAGCTGACTGTCCCTTCCTTTCCGGTTGTGTCTTCTAGCCCGAGAAAGCCCTCCTTGCTCTTTTCTGTGCTGTCGTCGTTGGATGTCCTGTCCAGAAGCCACCCACACCTGTTGTTGTTGATTATACTGCCACCTCTTGGGGCCTTCTTCTTACAGCTACCGCCCACACCCGCTGTGCTGTCGTCGTTGGATGTCCTGTCCAGAAGCCGCCCACACCCATTGTTGTTGATTATACTGCCACCTCTTGGGGCCTTCTTCTTACAGCTACCGCCCACACCCGTTAGCCTCCCCGGCGCCTCCACCACCTGCTGTCGCCTTTTGTAGTCACCAGCCGAGCCTAATTTTCCTTCGACATCCCTAGATACTCTCTCGAGGTCTACCACGAATTGTGCTAGCCTTGTTTCTTGTTTGTTCCATTGTCATGCTGAAATTTGCTTGTACTAATTGCGTGAGTAATAATATTTCTTTATCGTCGTCACGTGTTACATTAACTCCGGTATCATTTGGTATCAGAGTTAGCCTAACCCTAGTCCTATGGTAGAGTTCCCTAGAGCCCGTCAAAAATTTTTTTTGTCTCGTTCTTTTCCTTTTCATTCTGTCTTTTCTTTCCTTTTGCAGATCTCAAACAATCAATTATGCCCCCAAAGAGAAATATGCTTGAGCTTACCTGGAAGAGATACGGCGAGAGCTCCGCCGTCTTCAACAAAGGCTTGTAAAGCTTGAAGAGTTAACATAGGAAGAGGTTACCTTCGACTGGGATTTGGAGAGTTGAAGCAGAGAAAGAAATTACAATATGAATCCCTTCCATGGGGAAACTTTCAGTAATGAAGAAGACTGATAACGATGTTTCAGAGTATAATATCATAGGAAACCTAGAGGAGGGAGAATTTCTGAGAGTAGATGTTATTTGGAGGACACAGAGACTACGAAGTTGAAATGGGTTTACCCATGATTGAAGGAGACATGGATCCAGATGAATTTTTGGATTGGCTACAATCTATTGAACTGATATTCGAGTATAAGGAGGTGTCAGAAGATGGACGGGTCAAGCTAGCCACCATTAAACTAAAGAAGAGCGCTTCCTTATGGTGGGAGAATGTGCAGAGACAGAGGAAAAAAGAAGGCGGTGAGAAGATTATTAGGTGGGAGAAGATGCATAAGACAATGCAAAAGTACCTGCCACCCCACTATTGCAGGATATGTTTATGAAATTCCACAATTTACAGTGGAGGAGTTCACAACCCAGTTCGATCACTTACAGCCGAAGTGCGAATTGATGGAGCCAGAAGAGCATACAGTTGTCAGATATATTGGTGGACTTAAACCTGTCATTAGCAATGTGGAGCAAATGCAACAATATTGGACGTTGGAAGATGTCCAGACAGTAGACTTGAATGTAAAGAGACAACAAAAACAGAGCAAGCAACAATCATTTTTCAGACAACATCCTCCGGTAGGCAAGAATTTAGCATCAACTCAGAGTTAGGGAAGTTGAGACTTCTTACTCAGAGACATTCTTAGTTGTATTCACTGAAGTTGCCGCAGAAGGAGAATCAGATCAACGTCAGCCGATGATGTTTAGTAGAGTTCTCTCTTCGGGGCCAACTACAGTACCAAGTGTGGTGTGACGTCCTTATGGACAACCATCACCTTCTGTTGGGACCACCATGGCAGTTTGATCGGAGGACTCAACACGATGGATTCAGAAGCACATATTCCTTCACCAAAAAGGGGAAGCACATAATTCTGCTTCCCTCGGCAGAGCCCGAGATTACAGGAGCTTTTACCAGCAGAGTGGCGTCAGTGGGTTCATTTTTAATGTTGACACCAGACGAGACAACTAAAACACCCGCTCTACATATAGGACCGATACGACCTCACTAAAACACTCGCTCCATATATAGGACCAATAAGCCGTGGGCGAAGGCTCAGGTTACTCTCATTGCTTGCCTGCATGAACCAACTGTGGGTTATTTCGAGAAGATTCAATATTACATGTAAGGCATGCAGTCCCAAAAAATTGGACTGAGATGGTTGTACGCTCACAAGTGCAACCAACAGTGGGATTCAAGTGCAGCCAAGATTGAAGATAAGGGACCAAAAGTTTCAATGAATTGGGTTAAAGCTCCCCCAACCCCGGGAGACTGACGTGGGGCTACTTGAGGAGGTCGGCCAAACTGAGGCCAGTCTAGCCTTCTGCTGGACGGGGAGGCTGGAATTGTCGCCCCCCACTCCCCCTTCCCTTCTCTCTCCAATCCTCTTTCTTTTTAATTTCTTTGTTATTTTACAACATTGTCTAACATAAGTCATAATCCCTATTATATATATGGGAGTGCTTTGCTTAGGAAAATTTTGTTTTCGGTGATTTTTTTGAGTTCAAATTCTTGTGTGGAGTGTTTCCCCTGTTTTAGGGCTATATTCTAGGAGGTGGTGGTGCTTCTTCAGTATCCTACTCCGAGTTGGTATTGTATCTCTTCCTTTTTCTTGTCCAACCCTCTCTCCTTCTCAGCCACTAGCCTCCCAGCATTGCCCAACGGCCTTTGCCGCCACCCATACAACATCTTAGCCTGCTGTCCAACCCTTCCTGCCACTGTCCAATCATCCCTGCTTTCTGTCCAGCCTTCTCATTTGTTGCCTCTTCTTCCCACATGTTGTTTTACGTCCCCAAACCTGCCATCCAGCCCCCAGGACCTGCCCTCCAGCTTGCCTACCATTCCAGCAGGCCGTTACCTTGTTGCTGTCCAGCAGGACTCCCCTTTCCGCTGTTGTCCTGCTGGTTGGCCACCTTCCAGCACTCCTCCTGGCTCCTTCCAACAGCAGCGATCCAGCCACTCCAGCCGGCCATCCTGCCCTCTAGAAAGCTGCCCCTTCCCCTCCGGCTGTGTCTTGCAGCCGGGACAACCCTCCTTGCTCTTATCTGCGCTGCCGCAGTCGACTGCCCTGTCTTGTCCAGCAACCAACCGCACCTGTTGCTGCTACCGACACCGCCACCACTTGCGGCCCTTCTCCTTACGGCTGCCACCTTTTCTTGTCACCAGCTGGCTCTAATTCACTGTCAACGTCCCCAAATACTCTCTCTAGGCTGATCACGGATTGTGCTAGTTTTGTTTCTTGTTTGTTTTTTTCTTTGTTTTGTTGTCATGTTGAACTTGGCTTGTACTTCAATTGCTTGAGTAATGATATTTGTTTATTGTCGTCGTTGGTTGCTTTAACTCTGGTATCAGTTGGTTAAGGGTGCATACACCAACTTTTCCTCAGACCCTACCTTGCATTTCTTGGAGCATACCATTTTTATTGGAGGATGAATTTTTATGACTGCATTGAAGATATTGTTGAGGTGATAAATTTGAGAAAAATAACTTCTGTGGTATATAATCATTTTGGTTTATATAAGTTCGACTGTTTTGATCTTTTGTAATGCAGTAGTGAATGGCGAGATACTGAGAACATATTATTTTCATATGATTTTATTGATGATTGAGAATTATGAAGATCTATTTATTGGTTATTGAGACAAAAATGTGCTAAATTTATATTAGAGAAATAAATAGTATTAGAAGTTTTGTACTGATAAAGATCGCTTAATCACAATCTAGTTAACAGTGATTATCAATTCTGTAAATTTTCTTGCATAATTATTAATTGAAGAAGCTTTACATGCAAGCTTGGTGCCGTTTTCGTAAATCCCTCTGCACGCTTTTATCCACTAGCAGCATGATATGTTTAAGATTCGGAAAATGTTCACGGATACATTAGTTTAAGTACCGTGTATCATGAATTATCCAATATTGGCTTTTAGAGGTCAATAAATATAGATTTCAGAACTTGTTATACTTGTATTTTCAATTATATTTCCAGGCATTCTTCTTCACACTTGTTTGTTTCTTGTATATTTATTTTTTCAGATCGAGGATTTTATTGCCAGGGCTGATGAGCTCAATGATGTCTCTCAATCATATCAGTCACCCACACCAGGGCAAGTGCTGTGTGAGCACAAGGATACAAATGAACCTCATTTTGCTCATGGACTTTGCAGACAATGTTTCAATGAAGTAATTTCTAGGTTTATTACTCTGCGATAATTTGTTACATGGGCTTTATTTTAGTATTATTTTCATGTTTATGCAGTTTATTAAAATATCAGGGGGACTTAAGGGAGGTGCAGAGCCTCCAGCCTTTCAGAATGCTGAGAAGCAGAGGATGGAGAAGGCCAGAGCTGAGGCTAAGGTGATTGAAGCAAATGCAGTACATTATAAAACAATAGGATAACCATGTTTTCAGACTTTTCATCATACCTTTTTACCATCCTTTTATTTTTCTTTTAGAACTGAAATAACCTCAAGAAGATAAATTGTGTTTTGCAAAATTTCAAATAAATTTTAAGTCCCCTGGATTATTCACTTGTGGACAGTTTAATCCCAAAGTGTAATAATATTTCTCTAATTTACTCTATCATATAGGGTCAACCTTAAATGATCTATCACGTAGAAATTGATGGATATCAACATATAAAACTGATCCCAATTTTATTTCTGTGAGACTATTTGAGATCAATTTTGTTTGGTAAAGGGACTAAAATTGAGATATGTGATGCTCTAGAACTGAATTCACCATGGCAATGGACGCAATAATTTTCAGGCTCAACTCATCAAAATTTCTACCTAATGTTTTTGTTATTACTAATTTTGTTTATTAGTTTCCATTACTATTTTCTCTGACCTTTTTTTTTTTTTTTTTTCTTGGATATGCAATAGACTGACTCATCATCAAAGCCCACTGCAGATTCAACTGGATGTGCAACAAGTGCGTCCCAAGGACCGAATCTTAATGGTATATGGGCTACTTTGGATCCACTGCGGACATGCAGTGCTATCCAAGTTCTCTTTTTTATCATCATGATCAGCCTATCAGCTATATATGTTAGGTCTTTACTTGCATCAAGTTATGCATGATGGTTTAGTCACAATTAATCTTTTCTGACAGGACATCATTTTGCGGATTGTTTTGCTTACAATGACTCGGAGCAGGATTTGCATGAAGAAGGAACTGGAGACCCTGAAAGCTTTTCTGATATCGATGATGTTGAGGTTTTGTGTCTCTATAGAGCTGCTTGCCCTCCTTAGCAACAATTTTCATTCATTTGCTATTGCCTAATATTTTGGGAATTTATATGAAACATGGTAACATTTCCAAATATTTTAAAACAAGGCTATTTGTGATATTGAAATGGGAAAATAATTTATTTAAACTCTTACTATCAAGGACCTTTGTAGATAATAGATTTATAATGTGGGCGGTCGTTAAAATTGCTTCCACACAAATATTATTTGGGCATTGTTTTGGGATATTCTTAAAAAAAAGAGTTCTTGTGATATGGCCTTTCTTTCATTTGGTGATTTTATTTTGTTAGGGTCTATTCATATATTAAGGTGTACTTCATGTGTTATTCCTTTTGTTTAGAAGTGAATGTTTAAATTAGTCTTTGGTATTGTTCAATTGAGTTTTATAATTTTAACTTCAATTTGATTTTTTATCTTGATAAAAAGATGTAGGAAAGATGTGCTTACATTACTTTTGGCTTTTAATAAAATGATTCTTTGCACTTCAGTGCAATCAATGATGAAAGGTATTAACCATTGGGTGTCAGTGAAATTAGGTGTGGATTGACCTCAGATGCATTATGAATATGAGTTTTTGTGTCATTCAATAGAAAATTGGTATGTTTATGTTTTTTGATTTCACAAACATCATAATGAAAGTTTTCATATATTAGTTTTTTTTCTTAATGACGGTGAAAATACGTTTTTGAAAACAATAAAGAATGGGTGTTTTAAGGTGTCGAGTTTTCTTCCTAATGGTAGGTATTTAAGAAATTTTTAGATCATAGATATTGAAGGACATATATAGTTTTTTTATAATTGGTTTTTTTGGTGATAGTATCCATTTTTTTTTTAGCAAGCTCATTCATCCTCCTCGTGCCTTATTCTTGAAAGCTAATATGAAGGATAAAATATAATTTTGCTCTTGGAATCTTTAGTTTTCTTTGGGAAGGTTGACATGCTGTTAAACATAAATATTTTAGATACATGAAGGACATTTCTGAGTGTGAGTGATTTCTTTATTAGTATTTCTTTGATCTTTCGTGGTGGTTGAGTATCCATCAGTTATACTTATTTTTTTGTTGCTAAGACAAGATGCATATAAAATAAAATTGTTAGAGGAGTTGGTCATAAATGATATAGGAGTCGAAAATTTTGTAATGTAATTGCTATGGATATTCTTTAGTGCTTCTAACAAGTTTTTTTGGTCTTTCTGTGCTTTATAAATTGACTAATTTTCTGATTATTAAAATTCTTTTTAAGAACTTACAAATCAACTATGGTCATTTTAGACGGTTCCTTCCCTTTAACTGCGATGTTGAATTGATGTTTTGTAACTATCCAATTATATTTAGATTGCATCCCTCAAATTTGAGAGAACCCAATACGAAGGATGTGTAGGTATTATTAGGAAAACCATGGTTTTATTCATGAGAAAAAGTATAAAGAGAAAAAAAAGGCAATGTGGCGATGTAGGTTACAAAAATGGGAACTGTTTGCGGCAAATGCATCAATGAAGGTTGCAGTTATTGAAAAATATGAAGAAGAAGAATGCGGCAATGAAAGCTGCAGTAGTAAATAATTATGGGAAAGGAAGAGAATGCGATGATGAAGGGTATAAGATCATGGTAATGTAACGATGAAGATTGTGTCAATGGAACAAAAACAAGAGACAAAGTTTAGGGATTTGATATTATGATAAGAATTGATTGAGTCTTTTGTTCCAACATTTGTATAGTATTTATACGATCCTAGGTGAACTTTAGGGAACATACTAAATCAAGAAATAATAATTACCTTAGTCCATAGACTGATGGGCAGACAAAATACTAATCATTGAATAATTATAATAATCTACGGATTGATGAGTAAGAAGTAGAGATTCTAAGGATGATTGTGGTGGCAGCAAAAAGGAAGGAGGTTGGAAGTTTCAATGAGTGTTAGTCCTAGTTGGCAAAAATTATGCAAAAGTTTCACGGCTTAATAGGGTTTTCTTTCTATAGATTTTTCAATGGATATACAACGTTTATTTTGTCCGAAATTGTATTATTAAAATTATATTTTTAGGTTCTGATGTCATTTTACACCATAGGTTGATGGTTACCTTCACAATGAAGAGGAAAAGAAATATAAGAAGATCATATGGGAAGAAATGAACAGAGAATACCTTGAGGTAAAGTAATCTTTTGATTCATGATATTGTCAACTCACACAATCCATGCATAAGATAGTTCAGTCTTAATCTTGAACAGGAGCAAGCAGCCAAGGAAGCTGCTGCCGCTGCTGCAGAAGCAGCTGAAAAAGCTTATGTGGCTACTATGTGTAATAATTCCGAAGAATTTCGTTCGGCACAAGAACTGGCAGCAGCTACTGCAGCAGCATTGGAAAATTCTAAAAAGGTAGCTCAGTAGAAGAAATCATTCCATGTTCTTTAATTTCTTGTTTTTATTATCTCTTTATAGTTGCAAGTTAAAGTATCTTATTTTTTTAATTAGTTGTCATGTTTCATTTTTTGATTAAATATCTGCTTAATCTGTAATCTTTTCCTGACCTATCTGTTTTAAATATCTTCAGTATGCTATGTTAAAACTTTATGGCATTTACATACATGCAAGCCAATTCCTATGTATTATATATCTTACACCTAAGCTTTACTTTTTAGATTTTATACCACCCAAATCTCTTCTATCACAAAAGATATCACCATTTTAAGTTTTTAATGCACCTTGTCATGCATAGTTAAGGTGGCATATATGTAAAAATTGAAGTTTAGGTGTTAGATATGTAAATACCTAGGATTTGAGTGGTATGTATGTAGATCTTCCTAAATTCTTTTAAAATGACTTCCTATATTCCTTGTCATGTTTATGAAGTGTGCCTCGTGACAATGATTTCTTCCTGTCATAAAGGTAAAGCATATAAAAAGGGAAAATAAATGAGAAGCAAAAAAGAAGAAAACTTTTTAAGTTCTCTTAAGTCTATTCTTGTTCTCACATTAATGGCTATTCCTCAGTGACATTATTTTGTTTGTTTGTCATTTTAATACCAATGCCTTACTTTAACTTGGATATTTTTTACTTCTAAATAAGTACTTACTAATCTGCTTTTTTAATTCAGATAGTTACCAACACCAAATTTTTGGATGTTAACTTGTTGCTTATTTTGTGCAAATTGCTTTTAATCATTTTAGGATGTTAAGATGTTATTTTTTTAATATTTTAATAGTTTAGGATGCAAATATGTTATTTCTTACTTTGAACTTTGAACTTTGAACTTAATGCAATACTTGTTATTTTTGCACAATTTGTTGATTTTGAAGATTGGGCCTCAGAATGTCTCATAGTTTATGCCTAATCTCATGGACGAAAATGTCGAAAAATGCTTTAATACACAATTGCATACTTTTAAACTTTGTTCTAATCATTTATGTATGCATCTCATTCGCAATCGTTAAATCCACTTTTATTCACCATTGTTGTATAACAAACACATTGTGCTGATTTAAGGCTTCTTTGAATTATGCTAGGCAATTCTACTATGGAAGCTATACATTTATTGAGAGGCTTGATGGAGATGTACAAAGAGCTTAAGAATATATATGATTCTTATTGATTTAGAAAAAGCTTGTGATAAGGTTCCAGGAGAAGTTCTTTGGAGAGTTCTAGTAAAGAAAGCGTTGATATGAATTATATTCAAGTCATTAAAGATATGTATAGTTGTTATTTGTGTTTGAATAGAAGGATTGAATAGAAGGATAATTGACCAAGTATTTTCCTATTTCAGTTGGATTACATCAGGGATCGACTTTAAGCCCATATTATTTAGATTTCGCTCTGGATGCTCTTACTGGACATCTACAGGAGCATGTACCTTGGTGTATGCCTTTTGCTGATTTCCTTCTTGTGAATAAGACGAGAAATAGCTCACAAAAAACTTGAATTTTGAAGGTTTATTTTAGAGTTTAAAGACCTTCGTTTTAGTAGATAGAAAACTGAATACATGAAATGTAATTTTAGTAGTAGTAGATCTAGTGGTAGAGTTGTAACAATGGGTGATCAAATCATTGAAAGGAGTGGACGTTTTAGATATCTTGGGTCCATTGTTCAAAGTGATGGTGATAATGCTATTAGTTGAATTCAAGTTGGATGGTTGAAATGGAGGAATGCATTGGAACTAATGTTTGATAGAAGTACTGCTTAGGCTTGAAGGAAAATTTTATAAGATGGTGGTGAGACCTGCAATGTTTAATGGCACATAATGTTGGCCTATAAAAGAGAATCATAAAACTAAAGTGTTATTGAGATGAGAATGCTCAAGTGGATGAGTGACTTTACACTTAGGGACAAAATGCGAAGTGAATAAATCTGTTAAAGGGTTTGTGCATCTCTTAGATGGTTTGATTAACGTTAGGCATTGACCATCTGATGATTCAGTTATAAGAGTAGATGTGTTAGATTTGACTCGTGTTATGAAAGATAGAGGCAGACGGACCTAAAAAGGCCGGAGCATGTTGTATAAAAAAATATCACAATTTATTAGAAATAAATGAAAATATGACACTCAATAGGACACGATGGAGAAAAAAAATTCATGTAGGCGGCCCCTAGTGGGATAATGGCTTCTTCTTCTTCTTGTTTTTTTTTTGAATGAGCCCATTTATATATGGTGGCAATTTGCTTGTAAGTATTGAGAATATAGGGTAAATCAAATGCATGGGCTTTAAAATCTTAAATGTTTAGAAAAAAAGTAAATACAAAGTAATTTTTTAAAGGATTTAAAATTCCCTTAAGTTCATTTTTAGTGTAAAATTTAAGGGTATTCTAAATGTCCTGCACGCATGAAGAAGCTTCACAGCGTCCTCTGCATGTAGCATTTGACCCTGCTGACGCTGTTGTTGTAGAACTCACTCTCTCTGCTGTCGCTCCTCTGATATGTCTTAACCAAAAAAAAATTATATATTGATTCACTTTTCACTCCAAACACCAAAAAGTAAATTATTGGATTAATTTTACAGTTAAGTAAATACCATAAACCATTTCAAATGCATTGATTTTAGTTTAAATCCTGCAATTTAAATACTTGCACTGAATAACCTCTTATACTTGATCCTTTTTCTTGTATTTTTGTCAGTACAAATTTTCATTTCTCAACTTGTAACTGATCATTCTTTCAGGAAAAGAAGCGAAAGCGAGCAGAAGAGAAAAAGAACTCAATGCCTGCTAAATCTCCTCTTGAAGCAACATGCCAACTACTAAAACGAAAGGTGCGTATCCTTTGTTGGTTTAATCTTAAATCCAAATCGTTGCTCTTTTTTTTTTTTTTATTTATTTTTTTATTTTTTTTTTTTATATTTTTAAGATTATTTATCCTTTTCATGAATTAGTTTTGGTTAATGTTTATTTTAAAGTTTGCTTGATTGCGCCATGCATCGATCTCTAACTGTTATGATGTTAATAATGGTGTTGTGGGTGCAGTCTTTTAGTTCAAAAATTAATTACAAGGCGCTGGAGAGTCTGTACACGGTATGCTGCTCTTTCAGTTTCACAGTAATTTGAAGCACTTCTGTTATTGTTTTTTTTAAACCATAGATTGATTGTTCATTAAATTATTATTGCTTTTATTAGCGTGCCTCTCCAAACTTATGTATTTACTGGAATACCATATAACTTTCTATAACTACTTTGTATACTACCTTATCTTACTAAACTCAGATGTCACAATCATTTGATTTATCCCCTATTCTTGACATTTTTCTACTCCAGTTTTAAACCTTTTACCAATTTCAATTTTGTACTGCATGGAATCTGAGCAGGATGGTGCAAAGCAACAACAGACTGAGATTGGTGATGGAGAAGCTGACAATGGTGAGGTGAAGGGACTTGATGAAGATGCTGCGGCAGATGGTAGAGATGGCTTTGGGACACAGGAAAATGTCGAAGAAGACCGACATGATTATGATTATGATTATGGTGATGGAGATGATGGCTATGGTGATGTTAATGATAACTATTATCACAACGAAGATGATAATTATGGTTATGGAGATGATGACTATGGCTATGATTAGTGGTGCGCTTCCCTTCAGCCTTGTCACCATACTGCCATTCAGGTCAGATATGTATGTATTTATTATTCTTTTTATGCAGCTTGACAAATGATTTTTAACATCTTTGTATTTGCTAAGTTGCGTTCATTTTGACAGTTTGTTTAGCTTTTTTTTTTAAAAACGTTCATTTTGACAGTTTGTTTAGCTTTTTTTTTTTTTAAATTTTAATTAACTAATTGGTGGTGTATTATTATATTGTTTAATTGCAATTGTAGGATGTAGATCTGTAATCTGCATGCCTTCGGTAATTTTTTAGATAAATTGCACCATGAAACTAGAAAGAGTTCCTGTTATGTACCTTTCATTTTAATTTCCTTAGATTATTTTGATTTTTTTGGGGGCATTTAGGTGCATAACCACCAATTCCTATGTATTTACATATCTTACATATAAACTTTTCTTTTTTATATATTTATACCATTCAAAAATGATATACACGTTGTCATGCGTAGGTAAGGTAGCATGCATGTAAAAATTGAAGTTTAGATGTTGGATATGTAAATGCATTTGGGTATGCATGTAAATCTTCCATTTTTTAAATAAATTACACCTTAAAAACACTCCAAATATAACTAACTTCTTGAGGTCATCTGCATATTTGAAAAATGCAAAGCTTGCGCAAATAGAGTGATGGATATAGGGATAAAGTAAAAAAAGGAAGGCTTTGATCTCTTCAAGGCTTTGATCTCTTCATTGCTTCACTGCCGAGTACTGAGATATCTAATTATTTCGGAGGAATTTTTTTATTAATGCAAATTTTGTCTATTTTGGATTTGTGGAAATTTTATTTTTATCCACTTTCATTTCATTTATGATTATTATTATTATTATTATTATTATTATTATTATTATTATTATTATTATTATTATTATTATTATTATTATTATTATTATTATTATTATTATTATTATTATTATTATTATTATTATTATTATTATTATTATTATAAATACAAATAATATTGTTAATCAATTATTTATTTCTTTAATATTATTTTTTGAGCTTAAATTATTAAAGATAATCGAATAAAAATATATATGGTAGATTACCGCTTAGTTCTCATTATGTCGAAGTGTCAAGATTTAACTGTTTCTAATCAAATAAATAATCGGTCATTTTTTTTGTAAGTGAAAGAGCAAGAGTGCGCAAAGCGTAGAGCTGCTCATGAGTTTCATGCAGCGGTGTCTCAGGGTCAAAAATTCTGACATTGGCTTAATGTAGGGTAGAAAAATAATATTTAAGTCATGGGCTGCCCATCACCCCAAAAGAGGTTTTTTGGGAGGTGAAAATTGGTATCAGAGCAAATTATTGTTTGCAAGTGTGTGGACTCTCTATGGTCCAATGGGACCCTCGGTGGAGCCGATTTGTGACGAAGACATCACGTGATTAGGTGGAGGAAATATAACGGATAAAAAATCTCACATAGGCTAGGTGAAAGACCGAAAAATATTATTTAAGTCATTGGTTGCCTATCACCTTGAAGAGTTCTTTTGTGAGTTTGTTTGTTTAAAAAATAATTAATTATATTATATTAAAATTTAAAATTTTATTTTTAAGATTTTAAAATATTAAAGAAATAATTGTTTATATTTAATGAAGTGATTTTGTGTAATGCATTTTTATTCTGTTTTATTTATTATTTTATTATAATATTAATTTGAACTAATGTTATTTTATTTTTTTTAATCAAAAGGTTAGCTTGTGACTTAGTTGGAGATTGTAGAATTAAGTTCACGCTTGAACTTCAGCTTAAATAATTAATGAAGCTTTAAGTTCAAGCTCGAGCTCAGCTCAACTTGTATTTGTATTTGCATATGTAATTAAAAAGTTTCTTTAGATTTAAAGCAATGCTAGATGTAGCAACGACTTGGTATTGCGAAGGTTATTATATAATGTTTTGATTAGGAGTGTAAGTGAGTCAAGCCGACACATGAGCCGGCTCCAGCTCAACTGGATAATCGGCTTGTGAACATAGCTCGGCAAGTTAACAAGTCAAGCTCAAGCTAGTCCTGACTCGACTAGTGAGCCGACTCATTCAAAAAAATATTAATACAAAATATATTCAAATTTTATTAAATTTAAAGATTTTATCTTAAGAGTATTAAAATATTAAGAAAATAATATCTTATATTATAGAATATGTGATTTCTTATTATTTTTCTTTTAATTGTTGATTTTATTTGTTATTTTATTATAAGGCTAGCTTAAGTTAATATAATTCTCTCTTTTATGATAAACAAGCTAACTCGAACTTGCAGACTTAAGCTTGAGCTCGAGCTGAAACTCGATAAAATTAATCCAGCTCAAGCTTAAGTCGATGGTAGCTCGAGCTCGATTCAATTTGTTTACACCCCTAGTTTTGATATTGTATGGCGAAAATTGAAATATATCACAGGTCGGGGTCGGCTCGAAAAGCAATATCAGTTGTGATACTCATCCATTAAATATTGGAAAGGAATATATATATATATATATATTGAGAGTGTGTCGTGCATCCTGACCTGTTGGTTGGCATCCACGGTATTAAATCCCTCGGGGCAGGGGTTCGAATCCAATCTGGCACAGCTGGCCTTAAGAAGGTGGTACTTGAATTCCTAAGCACATTAGGGTGGTTGGAGACTTGTATAATTGTCTCTCGTCATTTCTTTTATATAT